GTAAAGCAAAGGAAGATGGTGGAAAAGGAAGGGGAAAAAATGTACATTCTAATTACAATAGTAATGTTCAACTAAAGTTTCCTAAACTCGTACAATCATCAAAAATAACTCATATCTCTAATCCTTTCAGCTTGACAACATATTCCCCATAACAACCACTGGGAAGTAGACTGTACAAATATCACTACCCCTTTTACAGAGGAGGAAATTGAGGCAGATAAAGTGATTAGACATTCAAACCCAGGTCTCCTGACTTCTTTATCAGCATCCACTGTATCACACTGCCTCTCAAATGTCTAGATGTCTACTAGATAACACAAAATCTGTCACTTACTACTATTTTTAATCCCTTTGAAAAATATCAAAATTTGTATACAAAGAAAATTTAAAGAAGAAAAATTTTTAATTCGATCAAAATGTTAAGAGTCCTAGTGAAAGAATTTATGTATTTCTTATTAATAGAGAAAACAACTGAAGTTTAACTCTAGAACCTTCATCCAAAATCCTAACATAGTAGACATCCAACAGATATTCTATAAATATTGGTGCATTTGATTACGTACCTTATTTGTACTTTCTTAATAATATAGAGGTACATTTTGAACATGTGCCAGGCATTACACAAATAAAGCCAGATACTTCTTAAGACTATCTTGACTACATAAAAACACGAAACATTTATTTAACATTTAGATTACTTACAATGAAAAGGATAAATATTTATTGCGGTAGTGAGATGGAACATACCATACTTGCATACTTATATAAGGACAAGATTTCCACTTTCAAATTAATCAACAATGAATCACTGTGACAGTAGGCATAGATTGGAAAATTAATTTGCTTTACAAGTTGGTGATGAGTATACTCAAGATTTATTTAAAAACTGTATCAGAACAAGCAGTGAAAAAAGGCAAAGTATATTCTTTTTAAAAAATCAAATTAATACCAAAAAAAAATTAATGCCAGAAACCCCATTTTGATCATTAACCAACAAAAGTCATAGTACACACAGCATAGATTGGTCTTTTTCAAGGAAACCAATCTGATTTTTCCATTTATGTACATATTGCTATGATTTTAACTTCTATAATATTAAGTTAAATTTCTTAAATTGGATATATATCTCAGTGACTAAATTCATTATAAAAAAAGACCCAAAAAATTTTGAGTTCCAACATCAGCTCTGTAGCTAACTCCCTAACACATTTTAATTGTCACGTAGCACAATTTATAAGTGAAATTTTAAGACCAAGGCCTTGGCCCATAAATGAGATAAGAGTAGTAATCACTTTTCATGTACTTCCAAATTTCCTTACTTCTCAGTGACCAGGAATGAATGAATGAAAGCAAGTGCACCAGATAAATTACCAAGTAGATCATCATAGACCTAAAATGAGATTTTCTATTTTTTAAAATGTGTGAATTATAATCTAACAATGCAGATTAACACAACTAGCCCAGTGCCTAAAGGAAATCAAATTGGCACATTTTAAACAAATCACGTGAAGGTACTATAAGAGAACATACAATGAACCAAAATGACGTTTTTTTTTAAGTTCTGGCTCCATTGTTGTTCAGTCACCACTGTCCCAAGTTTGCTCCCTGTTCTTTCTCTGTCAGAGCAGAGAAAAAGGTAGAAAGGAAAAGAGCAAGTGTAATTTAGGGACTTTAAGACAGAAGTACTTTAGAGTTATCCAAAATATTGGTAACAAAGAACATTTAGGAGCACCGCTTTCTCATTTTTGAAAAAACAAAGATGCATACTTCAGACTGCTAAGGAAAATTGTCCAAGTGTGTAGTTTAAAATACATTTACATGATCAGAAATTTATGAGAAAAGCAAATTGTTTACATAGAAATTTGTGTCTGTGGATGTACTTTGGGCGTGTGACCAGAGTTATAAAGATAGAATCAAAGCACAGATGTTAGAAACTATACTAGTAAATGTGGGTGAAAATATACTGAAAAATGTTTAGTGTCCAGTTATTTTTTTAATATATTTACATGGTTGGAACAACAAATGACTTCCAGATATTCTACTGCACATTAAATGTGTATACTAGTATAATTAGGCCCTTACAGATTCGCTCAATAAAACCTTACCATAAATATACCTGAAGAGTGTTGTCAACACTAATTTTCCCAAGCACTCTAAGAAATCTGTAACACATACCTGGTGCATATTAAAAAAAACAACTATCATTATTATTCTGTATGTTCAATTTTTAAAAATGCAACTAAAATGAAATTCTTTGCAATGTTAAAATATATCATACCTCAAACACAGCCATTGGCATTGGTTGAAATATGTAGGCTAATGACTAAAGAGAGGCAGCTAAGTGGTACAGCAGTTAAGAGTACTGAGCATGCAATCAGGAAGAATCTCCATGACTTCAAATATGACTTCACACTAGCTGTGTGAACCTGGGCAAGTCACTTCACCCTGTTTGCCTCAGTTTCCTCATATGTAAAATTAGCTAGAGAAAAAAGTGGCAAGCCACTCCAGTATCTTTGCCAAGAAAATCCCAAATACGGGCATGAAGAATCAGACACATCTGAAATGACTAAACAAAAATGATTAAAGAATAGGAAATGCCAGATATGCAAAAATTGGTATTAGTATTGAAATATCCCAGAATCAGTTATCTATTTTAAGATACTATTGAAAATTCTGAGATATCTAGTTTCCTATAAAATTTTAAAATATCTCCTTTCTTTTAAAATATACTTCAAATATACAATAAACTTCCATTCAAGAAATATGAAGCAATTGTGGTGCAGAGGAAAAAAGCAATGGACTTGGAATCAGAACTGGTTCACATTCCACCTCTGAGACTTACTAGTGGTAGAATCTGTCAGTTTCCTCATCTGTAAATTAGTAATGGCAATACACCTGTATTGAGTTACTAAAAAGTATTTTATGAACATAAAGTACTATACAAATCTAAGTTATTATAAGTATTGTAAATTTATATACTACAGCATATTGTCATCACTGTAAAAAAAATATATTAATTAGGGATGACCGTAGAGACCACAAGTTTCCTTTAATTAGCCAACTCTTGTGCTTTTAAAATATAATTCAATTTAGGAAACTGATTTGTTCAGACCTTTACAGAAACATATTCTATTATGTGAAATAGGGTCCAACTTATAGTGAAAAATGTAAAAGTTAATACTATTTAATACTAAAACATATGAAATGTATTTATGGAACTTTTTACCCCAAAGTCCACTAGCAAAAGAAAAATATTTTCTTATTGTCCCACTTCAAATCTGTCTAGATATGACACTTTTAAAACCAAGGTTACAATCTGGTGAAAGATTTTAAATTTTTGTTTGTTTGCTTTTTGTTGAGGCGATCAGGGTTAAGTGACTTGCCCAGAGTCACACGGCTACTAAGTGTTTTGCGTCTCACGTCAAATTTGAACTCAGGTCCTCCTGACCCCAAAGCCACAGCTCTATCCACTGTACCACCTAGCTGCCCCCAAGATTTTAAATTTTTAACAAATGCTGACTGATATATTTTGGGTAAAAGCATGTCTGAGAAAGAAGATGGTATCAACAAGATTCTTATCTATTACTCTGATCATACTGTACTAGATAGCTAACAATTATGAGACTAGTATTTTAAGGAAGAAACAGAAGGGGGAAAAAAGATTTGCATCTTAGTCTTTGTAGGCATAAACACATTTATAGGAAACAGCACATGGATGTTATTTTTCCTACCCAGAAAATGCTATTCATGTTATTCACACTGAGCTGGAAATTAACATTTTGGAAAAAGCCTCTGAAATGTCTGTGCTTAAAATGTAACAAAACATAATTATTATATTTCCATCTTATTTATCTAGCACAGCTTCTAATGCTGATTCTGACCTCATATTCATGCATTAATGGCAAATTATTACTCTGTTTTCCTATTGGGAGAATCCAGCATAAATGCTGGATAACAGCTAGGCATGGTATGAGCATAGCTGTGCAATCATTTCAAAGGACCTGGTTGAATGGACTAAGTGGTGAATAACTGCATATTCTCAGACTTGGACATCTAATACAACCCCAACTACAAGAACCTTCTACAATACCACCATCCCCAACAAGTGGTCATCTACCAGTCTCTACTCGAAGACCTCAAATGATGGGGAACTCACTACCTTATACTTCAATTAAACAGAACACTGCTAAGTATCACTAAATATTAAATAACTCTAAGTCAGCTATTGTTGTTAAACTAGTTTTCCTACAGAATCAAGTTTGTATTCAACTTACAAAATTTAGTATTCTGTTGTGAATAATGTACATATGTAACCATATATACTGAATGAACATAAAAACACTGAATAAACTTTGAACATACAAACTCAAAACCATTTATTTCAAACTAACTTAAAATTGGTATCTTTTTAATATAAAATTTACTTCAAATACACAAGACATTCAATTGTGTTTTCATTTTTCTATGTAATTATAGCTATTTGAAGCCTAAAAATGATAAGTATTGTATGAATGACCTATGTTTCAATTTTTAAAATATGAGATGGCATAACTTATTATACATGTACACATATATTTATATCTCAAATTAATATTATTTTCTAGGTGCAGTATTAAGTGGCCTCATGAAAAACATCACAGCCCCTGGAGTCAGAGGACTCAGTCAGTTACTTAGCCTTGTGATCAAGGCCAAGTCACTTAATCTTTCTGGGCCTCAGTTTTCTCACTTGTAAAATGAAATAGATTAAATGATCTCTAATTTCCCTTCCAGTTCTAAATCTTTGGCTATTGAAAAGTTACAGCAGAACATAGGAAGCAACTATAGTACTTGTGTATTGGTCCTTCACAATCATAATTCATGACTACAGAAGTAGCCGTTAAATAGCTGAAGGAACTTGAATTCTTTTCTCAGAAGGAAGCTGTGCATGAGTATTAGTTCTGCCCCTCAATCCAGGGTTTCCTGAAGCTACAGTGGGCGCTTAAATCATCTAGAGGACTCCCATGGTCTTAGGACTCCGGAGAAATCTCCAGACTCCATGGCACAGAAATCTTTGGGGACAAGTCAAAGATTCTTCAGCAAAGAAAGGTGGGTTTTTTTTTGTTTTTTAGCTTCCACACCCCCGATATTAAAGTTTAGAAAATTGCCACTTTGTCCCCACCACCCAGAGGAGGCCAAAGGGCCTAACATATTACAGCAATAAGAATAACAGCCCAGAATTTCCAAACCACCTAAGTGGTATGGATGAGATGACTCTCTAGCAAACAGAATCAACCCACAAGGTGGTAAGTGGAAATGATGCTGTTCTTTTTGAGTCAAGATGGGAAGCCCACATATACAGTGAACAGGTAAAACTATAAAATAGTGACATGCCCACTTAACTGCTAACCAAAGGATAGACACATCCTGTATACTCAATATGGAAATGTTTGGGGATCATTTAACAATCTTTCTGGCAGTCCAATATATTAGAAAAATTCTGTCTTCACTGTGCTAGGAGTCAGAAAATCTCTGTTTGATTAGCAGTTCTGACACCAGTTAGGGAATAGGCAAGTCACTTAATCTGAACCACAGTATGCCCGTTTGTAAAACAGAGTTAATACTTGCACTATCCTATAAGGCTTTTCAGAAGAAAATACTTTGTAAACCTTCAAATATTATATCTATATAAGATATGCATAAACCACATATGTAAATTTATCATCTTTGGAAATCACTGTCACCCATTTCAGACAGGGTAAATAATAAATTACTGAAAAAAAAGTGCTAACCTATTTTTGTTACTTGGAATTTTTAATATTTTGCTAATTTTTATGCTCTAAGTTTGTCTCTCGTGATAGATCAACCAGTAGTTGTTCTGACTTGCATTTGGTTGTATTTCTCTGCTAGCTCAGTTTCCATTCCAAAACTCCTACTTTTTATTTTAAATTGATCCTACTTCCAATAAAACTCAAAGAAACCTAATATATCTATGTTACCAAAATACTTCTTCAATGATTCTAGGGACAATGAACATGAATAAGGAGATAGAAAGAAAAGTAAATCTGATTAGAACTACGATTACTGCCCATCAACGGATTACAATTTAACACCTAGAGCTGATATGAAACATTAAATGAGAACAAAATTCACTTCGTTGAATAAAGTTACAGAGAAATACAACTCTTACTCCTGTAGTAAAGTGCAGCCAGGTTCAAAGAAGTTCCTGCCTAACCCTAGGATTTAGCTACTAGCAAAAGAGCCCCAAAGATACTAGCACATGAGAATCGCAGAAGCAGTGCAGAGCCAACTACTCTGTTAGGTTTTTTCTCTATTTTCTTTAATTACCCATATAAGATACTCAAAAAGAGCAAAGAGAGTGACTCGATAGTCTCCTCCCGGCAAAAGGGTCCCGGGAAAGTAGTTCTCCCAAGGGATGGCTCCCTCGACACCACCACCACCCCCTCCCCTTCCCTTCCTCTGCCTCCGAAGTTTTCAGGACAATTCCTGGATGTCCGAGGCAGAAGAGAGAAGCCCCGCACTCGCGTAGAGGAGGAGCGCCCCGTCACCGGCCTCCGGGTTCCGAGAAGGGCCCTTCGAGACTTCTTCTCCGAGTCTGGTTGTGTTTCAAGATAACGAGATTTCGCAGTGAGTCACCCGCGCCCTGGGAGGCGGGGAGAGAGCACGGCCGGCGCACAACCTGCCGGGCTGCCCGGGGGCCCGAGGGGGCCTGGGCCGGGGAGCCGGGCTAGAGCGGGCCGTCGCCTCCGCCAGGCTGTCCCGCCCCGCGAGCTGAGCGCCCGTCGCCCTCCGCCAGGCTCCCGGCTCCCCTCCGCCCCCCCACACACACTCACACTCGTACACACAGCACACTCACTCACTCTCCTCGACTTGGTTCCTCCGAAGCCTGACCCCCGCCCTGCCCCAGGACCAAGGACTCGCAGCGGCGGCGGCGGCGGCGGCGGCAGAAGCGGGACACAAACACGTCGAGACGAGCTCGCACCCGGCCCATCCCCCTCCCGCCCGGGATCCCCGGGCCCGGGGGATTCGCCCCCCGTCTGCCCCAGGCCCCGGCCGGCCGGTGTCAGCGCCACTGCTGCTGGAGCACCTCGGAGCCAACCACACTGGCGGACGCGGGGCGGGGGGAGGGTGGAGCGTGAGCCCCCATTCTCTCCCTCGCCCCCCCTCCAGCTCCTCCCTCTTACCTGCGAGTCGAGTCCCGGCCGAGGGCCGCCGCGCCTCGGTCCCTCCCCGCTGGGCCGAGAGGCAGCCGCCGCCGTCGCCGAGGGCCAAGAGTCCGAAGGGAGCTGGCCGGGGCCTCCCCGGCAGCAGGAGCAGCTCCACAGGGAGAGGAGGAGACAAAACAGCGCCGCGCCTCCTCCCCTACACACTCCTTCACTCACTCCCTCTCTCACAACCGCTCCCCCGCCCGCCCGCTCCACAACAGCTACCCCCCGCCAAACGGCGGCAGCGGCGACGGCGGCGACACTGAGGCCGGCGCACGCAGGAATGGTCCCCCCAACCCGCCGCCGCCGAGCTCCCCGCGCCCGGCCCCCTCCCTGCAGCCCGCCCAGCTCCGCCCCCTCCGCCTCCTGCTGCCGCCACCAGGACACACGAGTCCGCCCGCTCCGCTCCGCGCGCGCCCCCCACACACGCAGATCCCCGGCGGGAGGGGGGAAGCAGTGCAGCCGGCCCCAAGAGGCGCTCAGCTCCGACTGACGACGGTCAGCGTCCGGACGCCCGCACCCCTGCTCCGCTCTCTATCCGACACCTGGACTTGCCGCTGCGTGGAACCCCTGACTCCTCTTTCTCGCTCCCTCTTAAAGTTCCCGCATCCATCTAGGGCGCCCACCTCGCCTCCCCGCAGACGAAAACTTCCCACCTACCCGTTCCCCCCCGCCCCGCCCGAGACACCACAGGCCGGTGCTCCCGCCAGGCCCTGTTCACGGGATTGCGGGGCTTCTGGTCCAAGCCACGGCCAGTCTCACCTGGCCACCCCCCTCCCCACAGGCAGGACTGCCCCTCCCTCGCACGTCCCCAAACCCCCCTCCCCCCCAAGCCACGCTTTCCACTGGCAGTCCGGGCCTCTCTGCCCTCCATGCCTCCGCTCCTGTGGGGCTTGGTCTGTGCACCTGCCCAGGAGCACGGCTGCTGCTCGTACCCCGACCCTCCCCCTTCATCCCTGCCTGCTTCGAGTCGCCACACCCCGAATGCCCCCACCCCCATTATTATCATCCCTGCCATCTCCTTCCTTAGGAATGGATCCAGACCCGGGCAGTTTGACAGTTATGGGCTGGGGGGAGGGGGCAAAACACCCATCGCTTCCCTCGCCCTCCTTGCCTCCGCCCCTCCAGGAGTGGAGTGCGCCAGTTAACCCCGCCCCTGGCCGGTGACGTGCCATGGTGGGCCCGCCCCCAGACGCTCCGCGCGCCACTCCTCCTTCCTTCCCCTCCCTCCCGACCGCGTCACCTCCTCGCCCGCCCCGCTGGCTCCGCCCATTCCCAGAAATTACAACCGACTCAACTGCCCGGCGGCGCGGCCGTTAGAGTTTGCGTTCGGCTTCCGCCGCCTGCGTCGGGCCGGCGCTGGCGCTCAGCCGCCCCCGGAGGCCTCGGAGCGGGCCCGCGCGGGGCAAGACACTGAGGGCGGGGAGCGGGCGCGCGCAGGGCTCCGCCCCCCCTGCCCCCCACCTACCCACACCCTGCACGTTCTGCCGCGCGGCCCCTCCTCCCTCGCTGGAGCTGAGAGGCGACTGCAGTGGGCCCTCCGGACCGTGTCAAGAGTTTCTCACCGAAGGGCTCACGTGCTTGTGGCGTTTTCGGACCCCAAAAAGAAAGCGCTTCGGGCTGCAGTAAGAGGATCTGAAATGGAAAGTTTTGTTTGAAGAGGTGGTGGACTGTCGGTACGGAATGGGACGTAGCCGACCTGGCCGCGTCGTGGCTCGTTTTGTTGGAAGGAAGGGTCCCTGCGAGGAGAGCTGAGGGAACCTAACATGGATGGTGTGTTTTAAAAGATCAACATGCTCTTTAAAAAAATAAAAACAATAAAAAAGTAAAAGCGGCTAGGTGGGGCCTGGAGTTAGGAAGAACTGAGTTCAAAACTGGCCTCAGATACTGTCTAGCCCTGTGACCCTGGGGAAGTTACTTAACCTCTCTTTGCCTTAATACACTGGAGAACACGGCAAACCACTCCAGAATCTTTGCCAAGAAAACCCCACGGACTGTATTGGCGTGATAGAGGCTAAAGGGTCTCGGAAGATTCAGATGATTCAGCAGCAACAAATTGTGAACAAACACTTGGCATATATAGCCAATATATATATATATAGCAAATATAGCAAGCACGTTATCAATGCTAGCATTAGCAGTAGTAATGCCACTTGTGTTGCACCATCTTTCTCCCCGATGGCGGGGGAAAAAGCTCTGGTGTTGACCTCCCAGCTCTTCCAACTTTTTAGAAAAAGTGTTGCTATTTTGAAGGTTCCCCTAAGCCACTATTAAAACTAATGTAACTTGAGCCTTTCTTCCCCTTTCCCCAATTTTCCTTTGCATACAAATTTAAATCCACAAGAATTTTATTTCTGCCCTGCAGAATTTTGACATAAAATGCTCAAGCTCTTCATTATACTACCTCACCTTATGGTTGGTTTGGTTTTGGTTTTTTTTTTTTTTTTTTAAGTCCAAAGGGTTTTCCCACCATCAGCTCTGGAGTCTACTGAATCGACTTCCTAATTTTACAGCTGAAGCCCAGAGAGTTGAATGGACTTGGCCATGATCTCCCAGGTATTAAGTGTCAGAACTTAGAAAGAGAGCTCAGATTGTCTGACTTCCAGATTTAGAGCTCTTTTCGTGGTACCAAAGTGAAGTGATTTGCCCAAAACCACCTAATTAACTAAATGTTAGAGTCAAAATTCAAACCTAGGTTTCCTGACTCCAGGATTCCTCTAATAGAGTGTACTATACTGCACGGACTCTATACTTGATTATTAATCTCATTTAATTAACAGGTGAACAAAAATCCTAGAGAGGTGAGCTGATGTGCACGTGTTGTCTTAAGTAAGGATCAAAACTGAGCAATCCAGCTCCTTTAAATGCAAATCTTAATGCAATCTTAATGCAGTTCAGGAAAAGGTGGGGGGTGGGGGTGAGAGCTTTCCCATATTGCATATCCTTATCAGGCATATTTTTCTTTGGGATGAGAAGACAACAAACTTCTGCAGTGAGATTAGGATGGAGTAAAAAGTATTTAAATCACATGTAAACCGATTTGAGGGGCTAGAGAACTCAAACTGGAATAGAAAATGAATGCAACTCCCTCTCCTATCACAGAAATTGACTCCAAGAGGCCTCTCCTTCCCGCACCACAATGGTGAACATCTGCCACTTTGGGGCATTGCACAACTGCTACTATCATTCCCATTCCGTCACTGGTGCCATTACCAGAGTAGCTGCACTAAGCTGTCTTGGACCAGACGTAAGACTTACTGTCCCCTTCAATTCTTCCATATTTCATCTTCCCTCCCAATTCTGACTAAACTTTCTTAATCCCTGAATTGAAATAATATTGGAGCCAATAACCAGTCCCAACAGGTTCTTTAAGGAAAAGAAGAAAAAAAAAATAACCCTTTATAAGAAGTGAATTTGTAACAAGAATCAAAACGTTGAAAAAGCAGACCTTTTTGTGATAGCGATATTTTTTTCGTGTTGTTGTTTGGAGGTAACGCTGAGTTCTTCAAGGCTCTACCCAAAAAGCACAAGGTCTGGTAAGTAGAAAAAATGTTTTCTTAATAGAGGCCTAGGGAGGAACTGTCTGAGTATGGAAAGGCTTATTCATCCTCAGAGAAAAGGTCACCAGATCATGATTATTTTTTAGCCTCAGCAGTTCCATAAAGGCATAGAGAGATGGCACTTTGCATTGATGGAGAAAATGCACATTTATGAAACATTTATGAATTATTAAAGTAAGAAATAAAGGGCTTATTCCTCATGAAAACCATTGCCAACTTTTATATTTCAAAGGCCATTTGTTGTCTTCAGGGTTTTTCTTAAGTGCCACTAAATGGACAAATGCTTTTTTTCTCCTTGCAACACACAGCAAGAGTATTTTTCATATGCTATCCAAACAAAAATGGCAACTTTGGCCTGAAAATAAGTCCATAATGTCTAAAGTCCTATTTTTTTTTTTTTTTGGTATGTTATCTAACCCAATAATGATGTAACTATAGTTAATGATCTTGAGGCCTGAAAATTCACTGGTGTCAATCTTCTCTTCATTTATCTAATTAGACCTTTAACAAAAAAAACATGTTGAAAGAGAAAAAGTGTTAGAAAAAGTGAAATAGGTGCTTGATTTCTCTTTTCCCTGTTCTGTTTTCATTTTTTTAACAAGATGTATTTTATCCTATCACCAAATCACCATCTGATTGTCTTGTTCAGATCATCATATCTGCTACCAGAAAACTCAGCAGTGCAATCATTCAGACCCTGTCATTAACCCTAAACCCTCATGGGCTGATTGTAAACTCTTTAAGGCAGAAATTCCCTCTTTTTTTTTTTCTTTTTGTTTCCACCCAGGATAGTTTCCTAACACATGGTAGACACTTAGTAAAACCTTGTTGAAACTCATCAAAATGCCTTCTTTAAAATTATCTAGACAACTTAGAAGAACCTGGTAAATTGATGGTTAAAATATTGCTACTGTTGACTGGGAAAAAATGCACTAAAATGTTTAGATCTACTAACTTGGCACCAATATACTGAGGTTGACCTTATTCCATCACATACTACAAATATGCCCTTTGCTTCTCTCTATCCACTCTCATTTGGAAATACAACACTTTAGACACGAGAGTCTCTCTGAAAGACTATTTTAGAGCTGTCCTCTAAACATTCTCTGCTATAATACCTAAACTAAACATGTGCCTTCCTAATAAATATTTCATTCATGATTAATCAGGTAAGCAAGCTAAAGATAAATTAGAAAACATTAAAATAAAATAATAATTTGAGAAAGTTCAAATGTTTCCTAAGTGCCAAAACTTGCTTAGAAATGCAACCAACCAAGGGTAAAACTAATGTATGATATTTAAGGAGGAAAAAAATGTTTTAAATCCTACCAATGTTTCTTCAATCCCTTTTGACAGATATCTGTTGTCCTTAAGCTTATTCCCTCTTAATTGACCAGAGGCCCCCAAAATGGCATCCCACCAGGCTTAGTCCCTCCACATCCTGGATCAGGGGTCTCCAGTATGCTGATTATTAATTCCAAGGGGCTTGATTTGAGGTGCTCATAAACACAGACTCTTTCTTCCCCCAGCACCTAGTTAATCGCTGCTCTCCATCCCTGCAGTCTCCATCAAAAGAGATAATGTATATAAACCTCAAGGTTTTTGCAAAACCTAAAGGACAATATAAATGATAGCTATTATTATTCCATCAACTCTCCCTACAGTGTCCTATAGGTCAATGTTTGGGGGATGGGACAATTAGCACCTCCTCTGAAAGGAGAGGCATCTTTTAAATATGCTCCAAACTCGACTCTCTTCTGTCCCATTTCATCTGGAAGCTGCTTCCTACCGGGGTGATAGTGTGCTGAAAAGCCTTTAATCACTTCATTCTTGATAATATGTTAGTAAAGACTTCAATTTCAGTACTTTAAAAAATTCATGATTTCTTCACTGAATACTCCTTCATTGAGTATTGTAAAAACCCTTTCTATTTAATGGTAAATCTTCATAAATTGACAGTGCCAAAAAAAAAATCATCAACTAGTGGTCTTTCTTCCCAACTTTGTAGAATACAGGATGCCACCTGAAAACCCCAGAAATCTTTCGCTGTCTCTGGGTGAATAGCTAGCTGGTAGTGAAAAGGAAGGACCTACAAGGAACCAAAAGGGTAAAAAGCAGGGAAAGATCTAGATTAAGACAAGAGTTTTCCAACCTTGAGGTAAGGGGAGGGAAGCAAAAACCAAAATGAGTGGATATTTTCAATTACAGCTCCCATATGCATGTTCTACTTTTTTCAGTGAAATCAAAGTTCAAATAAAGTCAACAAGAATGAAACTAAAGGGAGACTTTCTCCCCAACTGCCAGTTAGCGCAGAACAGTCATTATTTTATCTAGTGTGCTGAAACAAGGTCTAATTTGAGTCAGCCCTTGACCAATCTTGAAGCAGAATTACTTGTCACTGTGACTATGCTCATGATGGAGTTGAGTTGTGTTGTTACTCTGTCTGTTTCATTTGAATAGGAAGTAAGCTCGAAAAACAGTCTTTAGAAATTGAAAGTACTATAATATCTGTTTAAATTTTCAATATCATTCACTTTGGTAAGTACAACATAATAAGCCCTTTAAAAAAAAACCACTATAAAAAATTGCAATATTTTGCAAATGGTTATAAATAATCATTTTTTCATCTTTGACAATTAAATTTAAATTATCTTTTTGAAGTGAAAAGATCCTTTTTTAATAAATAAATACATAAATGATTTGAAGGGAAAAAATTACTGGAACTAGTACAAGCAAAAAAAGTGGGAAAAAAAACAGTTTAAATAGAAATACAAATTAAAAAGCCCAAATCCAAAATATGTGATTCACTATGTTGACTATTAGGATTCACAGGTACTATTATTGATGGAATTGGAAAAGCTATTGTGATTGCCTTGTCAGTGAATAAGCATTTAAGTGCCTATGATGTACCAGGAATTGAACTAACTGGGGATACAAAGAAACAAAAGGCAGTTCCTGCTGTAATTGAAAATATCCACTCATTTTGGTTTTTGCTTCCCTCCCCTTACCTCAAGGTTGGAAAACTCTTGTCTTAATCTAGATCTTTCCCTGCTTTTTACCCTTTTGGTTCCTTGTAGGTCCTTCCTTTTCACTACCAG